CCCCAAAACCCCAAAACCCCAAAACCCCAAAACCCCGTTCTTCATAAATAAAATTGAACTGACCAGTCAAGATGATTTCTTCCTTAACAAAATTCGTGTTGATTACTTTCCAAGCTGCGATAGTTGCTTCTTTGCTGATAATGGGACTCTACGAGCAAGAGGAAGAGCATCCCAGACAACTTTTTATTAATGATGTTACTGATGAGCTTAAGTGGAGGAAGGTCCTACATCAAGTAGCAGCTGGCTTGGTGATGCTATCTTGGGCCCAGTGGTATTCAGTCCTTTTCCGAGTGGGGCTGATCAGTGGGGAGGTATGCTTTATTGTATGGGCATGGGTATATCCAAATGTAGAGCTCGATACTGTTATCTGGAATTCAGTCCTGATCGTTATTAATTTAATTCATCTTCTGTTATTCTTCTTAAGCTTTAAGAAACCGAAGCTGACTATTAAGGAAGAAGAAATATATCAGCATGATTTTCATCTCTACTTTACTCCTGAGGATTTTAAGGAGATCATGAAGCATGCTCATATCGAGGTGATAAAACAATCACAAACAATAATAAAGCAAAATGAGATCATTAAACACTTATATTACTGCCATATAATTTCAAAGGGTTCCAAATGAAAGCTAAGTCATAACGGAAGAAATGTATATTCTGTATGTAATACTGACTGGTTGGAAATATTTGATAGCTACCACGCCCTTACTTCTGGTGAACAATTTCCATGGTCTATGACTGCAAAAGTTCTTATTGGTAAAAAAACACCTCATTTTGAGGTCGTTAAATTTGACCTTGAAGCGCTTAAGAAGTACTTCTCAAAGAAAGGGCAAACTACAAGAGTCAGGAACTCATTTTATGCGTACCTGTTTCATAAAAGGATGCAGTATTTAGACCAGGTAAGTATTTGGAATTGTATAAATCATAGAAAGTCTGCACACCAGATGAAATTTACAAAAACACAAAGGTAACTTTTGCCCCTGATATACTTAAGGAACCCAAGCTTGATTATCTTAAGCTATTTCATTACAAGAATATCAAACTAATGACTGAGTCTTCGAAAGAGCTAGAAGTGAACCAAGGAAACATCATGGATGATGAAAATAAGGAAATTGATAATTTTATCAAAACTCCTGGGGATAAAGCTGGGTCTCTATCTGATCGACTTCAAAGAAAAACCACTATGTTTCAGAGTAAGACTCTTATAATAATATTGTAGAAGATAGAAGCTTGTGCTCTGACTCAGGTAAGTTTGCCAGTTAATTGTATAGATTGATCATTTTGAGGCAATATCAATGACCCTAAACATCCTGGCACTATTACGTCGGATAGACCCAAGAGAAATGAAGAAGATATAGTTTCTTCGTCAGAAGAATCCAAAGTTCACATAGATCGAATCAAGACGAAATTCCAAATTATGTAATTTCAATATCTCTATGGTTATCTGGGGTTTTGGGGTTTTGGGGTTTTGGGGTTTTGGGG